TTGCGTTGCGATTGCGATTCGATGCGCGTTCGCTTTGTATTTCCGAGGAATCGAAATGACAGATGTTGAACAGAAAATCCTGGAAAAAAAAACAGCACAAAAAGTAGAAAGTCACCGTGGGCTAGAAAACATTAATTCTCTCATTAACGAAATAAACATTATCCTATAATTATTAATACACAAGCCAATCAGAATTATTCTTTGGCTGGAGAACTGAAAGAATAGTTTTTGATAAGTGTGTTATGTTAGACGATCGTGGTGGTACCTTCTTCTACGAACCTATTCTTCCTACTTCTAAGCTTCAAGTTTGGACACGATGGCAACCCATCGTGTGTCCGCGACTAACCTATGGTCAGACGGGTGATCTGTCACTCTTCGTATTTCTTCACAGTTGACGAAAGTGCTGAGAAAGACTTTGGGGTGATCGAAAGGACGACAAATTAGTCCAGAACTCTGTGACGTCTGAAGAGCCGAAAGCTTTCAAATAGCGGAACTTCCAACCAGTATCTCCCTGTCTCCTTTTCATGAACCATTTCCTCAATCAGGTATTTTAGAAAGACTTAAATACCACCTATAAACTAATGAAGATAAGGATGAAAACTCTGATATGATTGTTATGTTTGAATCAAATAATTGAGTAAATTCAAATTATTGCAACCTGAAGTGAAATGATTTTTCAAATTCAACTCTTTACAATTGATACGATAATATGAGGTAGCATAATATACTTAAATGTACTCGTAAGTCTGTGTAGTATAAGGTGAGTGAGAAGGATAGGGATAAAGATGAGATTACGCAAGGTCCATGGGCCTTTATTAGGATACTGCTGTAACATTCATCTAGAAAAGCAGCCAGCAGCTAATTTTTTTCTCCGGACAGTGGTTGAATTCGACGCAACTATCTAGATAGTGTCGAAAATCCGAAATATACCGCCGTCGGGTCTCAAACCGTAGAATCTCCCTTGCCTCTGAGCCTTCTAGCTGGTGCTTAGGGTGCATAAATATAGTAGTACATTTTTTCAGTTGAAAATACTTACGCTCGACACCACTTACGTCAGCCACTGTTAAGAACGCTGTTCTATTCTTGCCTTTGCTTTTTATCTGTGGGTCTCTTCATGTATTTCCGAGATCCGAGGAACGTGTTTAGTCCAGCACTGGACTCGCGGCGCGGCGCGGCGGGGGGGCGTGACTGTCGCCGCGTGCACTTTCCTCGGCCGAGGCAGCGAGCGGTCGCCTTTCTCGGGGTCTGCTCCCGCCGCCGCTCGCGCGAGAAAGTGATCTTCCTGTGAGAATCGGGGCTGAGTCGAAAGTATGCGATCCAACGACGCAGCACCGGGGCGGCGCGGGGGCCTCTAGGCAGTGGAGACTACAAGGCCGCGTGGGCGGGGCAGCGGGAGTGAAGCGGTGGAGGGAGCTGGCGACGAAAGGAATGGCGGGGGCGAGATGGCGGGGGTGAGATAGCCAGGGGTTAAATGGTGGGGACGAGATAGCGGTGGTGAAATGGCGAGGGCGAGATGGCGCAGGCGAGGTGACGAGGGCGAGATGGCGAATGAAGGTGGCAGATCGAAATGGTGGGGGCGAAATGTCGGGTCGAGTTGGCGAGGGCGAGGACAAGATGGAGTTACTGCGGTTGCGGGGACGAGATGTTGGGAGCGAGATGGCGGGGGCAAGATGTTGAGAACAAGCCGGCGGACGTGTAACGGCGATGGTGAGATGGCGGAGGTAGAACAGCGGAGGTGACACGGCAGAGGCTAGATGGCGGGAGCGAGACCAAGACGGGAGCGAGACCAGACGGGAGCAAGACGACGCCACGACGGAAGCGAGTCGGAGGTGGTGAAATTTCGAAGAAGTGGAAGTGTGACGACTGGGACGAAACGCCGGGGGTGAGATGGCTGGGGGAGGTGGCAAAGGCGAAATTTCTGGAGGGAGACGGTAGAGGCGAGATGTGGCGAAGTCGAGGCGATGGGGACGGATAGGCCGGTAAGAGACGACTAGGACGAATTCGCAAAGACTAGGCGCGGGGGTGAGACGATGGGATCAAGATGGCGTCGGGGGCGCGATGGCGGAGGCGAGGCGCGGAGGTGAGACGGCGGTAGTGGGACAATGGGGGCGAGGCGACGGACGTCAGACGGCGAGGGCGAGAGGGAGCGAAGAGGCGGGCAGTGAGTGTGAGGTGGGAGGCGGTGCTGTGGGCTGCGGGTAAGCGGTGACTGGGCGGCGAGGCCGTGGAAAATGATCAACAGTGGTGCACCTGCTGTTCCAGTGGACGACAGGTTGTTAAACTGTTGCTGTTGGTTTGCGGTTCGGAAAGGTCGAAAAGAATAAACAGGTTGCATTGCGAATCACTGTACTGAAAGGTACTAGCTTCCAAATTTTAATTGCACTTCCTTTTCGATATGGATTATTCGAGGAATCACCTCGTATCTCTTTGGCCTTGTGGTATTCTTTTATTTTGCATTATCCCTTATCTGAACATGAGCACTACAGACAGACTTATATAAAGAGTAAACATTGGGTTACTTCGAATCCAGATAAAAATGTCTCAATGCAAAAATCCTAATATTTGTGTTGGTCGACCTCTGCTCAGTACCTCTACGATCGATTAGTACCTCTGCTCATGCCTTAGACGATCGATTCATTTTTGAGAAAACTTTGGATTTTCTCCACCTCGTAGACTTATTTCACAATGTTGCTAGTCTAAAAGACAAATGGCAAAAGTGTACGGATTTTCAATCTGTAATAATTTATAGTAATCGTTATTATGTTCTAACCATTCTAATAACAAATCCCGTTCCACTAGAGTATATATAAAGCCTTAATCTGGGCCAGGGCAGAAAAATAAATTCCTGTGTAACTAGTTATATCACTTAATTGGGTGCTATGAAACTCCAATTCACAAAACTTATGTAAAGTCTTTTGTGTGAAGAGTATATGCCACACCTGTGAGCATCTTCATGAGAGTTATCTGACAATGCGTGTCGTGCTCCAGGTACCGCAAGTGTTTTGTGTGTAGATGTAGGTGTCGGTCACGTGCGTGTCGCTATACGTGCAGTCGTGTTTTTCACACTAGGAAATATTTTTGTGACAATGTTAGTGCTGCTGTGGTTATTAAATTTTAGATTTATCTATAATTCTCATTCCTTATATGATATACTAAACATGTACTTAATATTCAGAAAGTGTCATGAGTATAATGAAAGAAAATAAAGGAAAAATGAAATACTAAGAAATGCCCAAATTGATATGATTACAATCATTCTCAAATGTTTATTCCAGAATGATATTCGTTTTCATTCTAATAAGACTATTGTGTTGCGTAGACTCTTATGCAAATGAAACTCTCATTCACTTCGAAGAGTAATTCCAAAATATGCTATGACCCAGAAAGCACAATACTCACATCCGTAGATCTTAACAGGATGTTTAGGAATCAGTGATAGGAGAAACACTATATTCTTGTAGTATTCAAACCTTCAATCTATTTTTTTTTTGAAACACAATGATTACATTTGTTCGAAGGGATTTGAATATCTTGTGAACTGTGATTTCACATTGCAGTGGAAGTGGATGCCTTTGAAAACATTACCGCACGTGAGAGTAACCGGCTGAGAGATATCATCACGTTGTTGAAATTCACTTTTTTTAATTAAGACAGCGTGTCTCCGTTTCCGTCTTGCATATCCTACTCTAGTGCGTAGTGTGTAACGCTGTGATAGAACATAAAAATATGTGACTACTTTTACTGGGAATGATATGGAGATATTGCACGCTTAACGTGTATTCGAACATTCACAGGTTGTTGTCACATCATTCGAAAACATATATTCCCACTTATCTGTTTTTAAAATGTACAAAACATTGTTTTAGATATAAGACACAATTTAAATGTACATGCATAAACCTACTCTACTTAATAAGATTATAAGTATTAATCATACATTGTGTTTAATAATACTTTTGGTATCTCTTTTCGTAGATTAATTTTAGTTAACATGTGAATTTCTTAACTACATTTAATTTAATTTCTTTTTAAATACGAAAATGTTTTTAAGAAAAAACGAGTAATGCGAGCAAACATTCTTCTGTCTGTGAAATTGCAGCCGAGACTTCGTCATGTCCGATTAGTAGTCATTCACGCTGGCTTGATTCATATGCAGCTATTATCATACTAACAGCCTAAGGCAATTTGCATGCAAAAGAACCGCGAATTGCATCACGGCAGATTGAAACGTAATTTAGGAAAGAGTCGGAATACTGAATGGACGATTTCACTCTTGTCAATTACCATTTAAACATGTGCGCGTGTAGATTCACTCTTTGCTCTCGCTACGTATTTTGCATCATATTACCCTTGGAACACTACATTTAATTTATTGTTTTAAGGCATATGATATGTATAGCTGTCTCAGAACTTTATGATATGTCAATTGAATTGGGAAAGAGAATACCTACTACTTTAAGCAAAAAATAAGTTCCAATCAATCTATTGAATATTTAAATCGCATACCTTGAAATTAGAAATCGTCACCATTCTGCTGTAGTGAAATATCGATATCACAGTTTTCTCTCCTGAAACAGCAATTTGCTTCTAATACTTTTCACTTGAACTATTTCTTTATATATTTTCGCCTTCTAGTGCCACATGAATAATTTTATTAAATTAATTATTAATTTTTAAAAATTACCCTTAACTTTATTTTGAATATTTACAAAAAATATGAATCTCTTTATTTTTACATGAATACAGTAATTGTGCGCTTCTTTTAATCTGATATTGAATTTTTTGTAAAATTCTCTTTTAAACTGGTATCTGGAGTGTTATTTACGTGTAATGCATTAGTAGATGACAATAACAATGTTTTTGAGAATTAAAGAATCTTCGAAGAAAAGGAAATGTGTGTGACTTTGGAATAAATAATAAAATAACAGCGACTAATGTGATTTAGGATTAATATATAAAATGGAAGAGATTTCGCGCCACGGTTACCGCTTGTATTTTATCCTCCTTCAATTTGCGACTCTTTTGTTGAGAACATTTTTGCTGAGTAAATCCTTTTTGTAAAACGCTTTTCTACTCTTCTAATTGTTTTAGAAAGTCAGCAAGTGCAGACTAGTAATATTAAAAATGAGTCATGTGTGTAGACAGCATTTCCCAATGGTACATTTAACAATGAAATATTTCGGGAACAGATATTTCTATTATTCCAAGTATTAAAAATGTTCAGGTGTGTTAACTACATTGCATGGCAAATATTTGTTTCTATTTGAACTGTTAATTACTGCTAGAATAACTCTGAAATGTTACCATTATTATATCTCCTACGTATATTTTTGAAAAATTGATTTCGGACGTGATGGAAGGACAATTGTTCAGCAAATTAATTTTAACAAAAACGGAGTTATCTTTTGCAACGATAAGATCCTTTTTCGAGACAAATACCAAGAAAATAAGCAGTGTCAGTATGGTTTTGACGTTTAATGAATTTTCTTATGCATTGAAATTTTGAATTAAAGGTTGGTAATTTGTAAAAATATGTTTGGAATTCTAAAATATTTGAACTTTTATTTTATCATCACAAGTTAACATAAAACAAACCAATGATAACAATTTAAAGTACATACCCAGGTGAAACAAAGACATAGTCTGCTCTCTAGAACGAAAGTTGTGATTTCTATTGTAACTGTCTTTGATAAACAGAATGGAACTAAATTTTTGAGATCACACATGACATCAACTTACGAGCAAAATGCGTTGGTAAATGCTACACTTTGAACATGTGTCGCTCAGTGGGCGTGAGCGGTGATGTGAATATGCACAAAAGATGTACTGAGAATGCGAGGTTACCGAGCAGCAGCCGAAAAGATGAGCAAAGATGCTTGGGATCGTATGGAGTGGGTGTCCGATTGTAACCGTCTTAGCATCGATTTACTAGGAAGAATCAGGAGAGACACCGAGACAGAAAGAGAAGAATGATAAGGAAAAAAGAAATATTTTCCTTCTTAAAGTAGCTTACTTTTAAGTTGTCCTCTGGTTGAGGCTGTACGGGGTCTGATTAGGATGAGGATTGTGCAGGTATTTAATTAACCATAATATGACATTCTTTTACGTGACCCCAAGCGTTTCCTCAACGGACTGTCAGTAGTAAACAAGTAAGATGGGGATCCCAGACCAAACAAATTCGGGATGTGATTCGCGCAAAGATTGTGCAGGTAGTATTTAATTATCCAGGGCTTGCCAATCTGTTACTGCCGAATGTACGGCTTGCCCTGCAGATTGCCGATTAAGGTCTGGCGGACGCTGAGCAGCGCGGCTACGCAAGGTTGTCCAGCAGCATCTGTTGAAAGCCGGCCACGTCTGCATCCTGCACGATGCGGGCGTTGGGCGCTAGGCCCGTGACGTTGGTGTAATCCACCTGGAGGGTAAACAAAATATTAAAGGAGACAAAGCAAAAAACGCAGTGGAAACTATTAATTAGAAAATATTAAATTGAAACCATGACCTAAACACCTTATTACGTATGCAAGGACTATTAAAAGGCGAGTTTCTGTCTTTTATCGTGGACATCATATGATCAAACTATTTTTTTAAAAGTGCTTTTAACTATTTTTTCATGTCTCGCGAAACGATATTTGGTATGACACACCTAAAATATACATTGTATTTCAATGGATAATTATCCAAGATTATACATAATATAATAATTTTTAGATTTAAAAAGAAACCATTATTAGTCTCTATTGTTTCTAAAAAGCACCTGGAGGTCTCATAGACACGTGAAATATACACTTAAAATACGTTTTATGTTACTCAATTTCCTTTCTAATATTTTTCTATAATACTAACTCTATACTTGATTATTAATGGTGCAGGATTGACATCAGCAGTAACCTTTATTACATGGGTTATAGTAATAATGAAACATTTTTATCTAGCACAGAAGATTTATACTAGGCACAATAATGTGCCATTTAATGTAATCCGAACACATACGTATCGCATAAGGGCGATGTGATGAAATATTGTGTAAGTCAAATATTTTGAAACTTAGATCAGTATCATAATAGGATACGTACGTTTCCTACGTACATAACGTTTCAAAAGTTCTAATAACCCATGGCCCACTATTAACGACAGTGATCAGTTTAGCAATATAAGAAATATTAGAAGAAATGTATGGCTTCCTATTGATTACTATCAACACCACTTTGTCATATTTGGCTTAGATGAAAACTAATTTTTGAAAAGTGTTTACAACGTGAGGTATTCGTGTAGTATCGTCTTATTACAATATTTCATTTATTATCAAAATCAACCAAACGGTTCGTGTGATAATTCTCCAATCTCTTCTGTAGTAAAATGTCATACGATAGTTATTCAGTATCTATTAACTTTCTTGGAAGCAAAAGTTGCTTTCAAAGTCTCCTGAGTCTGAAGAATCACTAAAGCATCGTAAAACCAGTGTTACTCAGAGGACTATAGAATATTGCACAGAGCTTTCAACGTCAACTGCAAATAAACAGTGCTCTTGTGGTTAAAGTTTCACTTCAGCATTGTAAAAACAGAACTAAACAGTATACTTCATCATAGAAATATTGCGCAGAAATTTCAACGGCAAGTGTAAACGAAAGTAGCATGAAGTAGTTCCCTTTCAGCGTTTGTTTTATTTTACAGTTCATATTGTTTTAGAAGGCCTGGGTTGGCCACTTTCAGCTTGAACCTCGATCCGTTGAAGGTCCGTCATTCATTCCAGACCATTATGCAATACGTTTCTGTGAAACTCGTGGAGTCACAGAATGACACAAACTTCCTAGCATTAGTTAGTTTTCTAATCTCTCTAACCTAAACTAACATTTTCGGTATTGCCCGCCCTCGTCTCAGCTGCTGTCTATCGGCGCCAAAACGATATTGTTTTCATTTTTTGTCAGTTTTTCGATCCCTTAATTGTAAAATAGATGTATGTCCTCATTTAAAGATTTAATTTCGGAGAACATGATTTATTGAGAAGAAAATTGTTTTCAATACCGTAGTTGTAGGAGTCACGGAAAAAGTTTTAAAGTTTTGCAATTTTCAAAAATTCAGATATGTCAACTCAACTGTGAGCTGCACCGTTCTTTAAGCGTTGTATGCACTATCCGAAGACAAAATTTAATTTTAAAAAATTGAACCATTTTTGAAAAAAAATGCCCTTGAGTCTACATGTACAGAATCCCCCAAAATTAAAACCGCTTTCAAATTCAATGAACAGTGACATCAGTCGAATCGGTCGCGGAATATCAATTTTGATCAAAATCTTGTTTATGGTTTAGCCGCTAGTGTTTTTCACAGACAGACAAACAGAGGTTTTGCTGTAAACTAATTTTTCGGTATCGCGAACCCACAACACACGGATTCTGACTACACAACGTGTCATAGCATCCAATATACTACATATAAGAACAATTATTGTGCGTGAACTGGGCTGTCTTCCTCAGCCGCGTCGAAGGCTGTGTTGCCGACGTTTCGACCACCCTGTCGTGGTCTTCCTCAAGGGTGGTATGACCACGACAGGATGGTCAAAACGTCGGCAACACAGCCTTCGACGCGGCGTCACCCGGACAGCCCAGATCACGCACATGACTCTGGCCGCGGAAGCCTTCGACTTCAAGAACAATTATTATCCTCTTTTTTTGCTATGAGTGATCTACGATAATATTGTTTTATACAAACGTTTCTGCCGAATAATCGCCTTTTTTCGCTGCAGCATTACAGTCTTTATAATACGTACGTAGTATGCAAAAAATAGAATAAAAAGCGCAGTACCTGCAGTGTGGCGCGTCCTTGCCCGTCGCCCAGCGTGACGGCCACGTGCAGCGGGGGCGAGACGCGCGTGGCGAGCGCGGGCGCCAGCGCCACCGCCGCCGCCACGGTGTCCGCCGACATCCACCGCCCCTCCGCCGGCCCCGCCAGGAAGGTGCGCTCCGCGGCGTTGAGTAGCTCCACGCCCTTCGACGGCAGCGCGCCCAACACGCGTCCTTACGCCACCCCTGCCGCACACACACACACACCACCACTTGTTATTGCAGAATGTGGATTTTGACCGTTAACTGCTTAGATCATTAATTCCGTAAGTGTAGTGCCTGTGTTTCTTCTTCGGGAGATGGTAATATTCCCCCCTTGAAGGCGCGGTCAGGTACCGACCTTCCCGTCGGCTAGCGGAGGGTTCCCTCGACCAGTTATCTCCCACCAGCGGGGCATCGCTCCAGCCTGGACAAGCTCCAAGCTCCCGACCAGTCTCCCGGCATGTGTGATAGTGTAGTGAGTATAAGTGTGAGTGTATGTAAAGGGCGCGAATAGGCCAAGCAAGAGGAAGGAAAGATCACGCAGGGTCCGTGGCCCATTTGTTAGGGTACCTCTCCGACATTCACCTAGTCTTCGTCAGAGAAACCACGGAAAACTACCAATCAGAGCAGCCGGCCAATACTATTCACTAAATATGAATTGGTATATGCACCTGCTATGAAGAATTGAAACTTTTAAACCCTTGGTTCTGACTGGATTTGTATTGCATATTTATCAGTAGTGTAGCTTGGTGTAATAACAAATTATTCTTTTCAGTGCTTACCCACCTAACGCATCCACTCTCGTTGGCTCGTGTCGTATCTATTGACAGGCCAAGACCGAGTCCACTTGTTATCTTTCCGAGCGATACTACCCTGCTCTGGGAGCGCGTGTAGTACATAGCAGTGGGTTAGCGAAGCTATTTCGCTGTGCCCACGCGGAGGCGCGGCCCGCCACCTGTTCCGCTCTCCCACCTCCTCTCCGTCGTTCCCCTCCTCCTCCTCCATCGCGGGCGAATATGGTGCGTGCGCGCCGGCCCCGACCATATACAGACGCCGCGCCTCCGCCTGCGCCACTCCGAGCCGCGCCGGGCAGCGCCGCCAGCGCCCCGCGCGCGGACAGCGGCGCTGGCACGAACGAAGCGAAACGACTGCGCGATATTCAAATGCACGAAGCTCGCACGTGGCCGACTCGCACAGTTGTCAAGAGAGGATGCGAGTGCCGGGCACACCATATCTACAGGATGAAATATTGCAGAGCAGCATGCTAAGAGTGGAGTTTTAACAGATTCGTGTCTGCATCTCCCATATATACATATCTACCTATATCTATATATCTATATATATCACATATATATATATATATCTACTATATATATATATACTTTGTTTTATTCTTTCAAGCAGCAATACGCTCTCGATTGATAGGTGTTCATTAAAACAACATAACTGTTCATTTGAACGTCAAATTACACATAATGATTAGCCAATGACTTGGTGTTCGTCTATTACTAAAAGACATTTACATCGAGCTCCTTGTTGTTCTTTTTAACTAATTTCGAATATTAATGTAATTAATAGTCTTGATAACTTAAACTCTTTAAATCCTGAATGTTATTCCTTCCTCTTCACTTGGCTTATACATTTGAAATTAGGCAATTCAAATCTCATTTTCTCCAAATACGAGATAATTCTTTTCAAGCCAGCATTTTCAATTTGTATTTTTTTTATTTTATAATTAGATTTGGTGCCGTCAGTGGATGTCATGAATGCCATTGAAAGGCATGCGTTAGTCATTAGTGCTAGAATGTTAATGGTCTGCTTCCATAAATTAAAACACTTTTTGAAAAATCCACGAGCCTCACAAAAGTAAAGAGCAAAAAAACGGAGAAATAAGAGGATATTCCGCCCAACAGTAAAATTTTAAATTGAAAAATCTAACTAGCCAAATAATTTAAAGAATTTGAATTTTAAAAAATGTTGTTGCCATATGAGTAGCAAGACACAAGAATGAATAAAAAATCGCCAGTGTGAACCTAATATTTGCTATCAATGAAAGAATATAATACAATTTTCGCAAAGGAAAGATGAAAATATAAAAATTTTCAAGTTTTCCACTTGGCGTGATTTATTACATCTTACGATAAAAAGAAATATTTGTCAATCAGAGAAATGATGACCAGATCAATAGAATGTGTGGATCCTATTTCACAAAAATGTATGTAGTAATTCGCACATCAGAAAATTTAGAAGCATGGAGAATAATAAGAAGATAATGAATAAATTATGGGCAAACAAAAACTTAAAACATTAACTATATTTGTACGAGCAAACTTTGCGTGCTTGACAAATACTGTTCTCGGAGCAAAAATATGCGGAATCTATCACGTGGACATATAAGTCCGTCTCTGAACACGTGGAGGTCTGCAGGCCTCTGGACGGGGCGTCGGGGCATGCCTTCGCGTATCCCTCACGCATTCCGCTGGCGTGGCCCTCGTCAAGGCGATTGGGTGCCTCGCGAGCAGGTGCCTGCTTGTCGTGGCGCGGGTCGCGACTGCGTGTCGTCAGCGGCGTTGACCAACCCGAACGCGGCCTCGACAGACGAGTCGAGACTTCGCAGCGGCCACTGGAAACGGATGGCTGGCGACTACACATCATTTTTGTGTCTCGTCTCTAGTGGCCTTTTTAAAAATTTTCTTTACTAATTTCAGGTCGCTTTTCATATACTAAAGTCATAGAGACCACTGTAAGTAACATTGGGGGAATACAATATGCGGATACACACAAACATCCGTGCTCTGGACGGTATCCGAACCCGCGACCCTTCAGTCATGAAGCAGCCGCGGCTCTTCAGCATTAGAGATCTGGGTTATCCAAACTAACTCTATTAATCTTTGGCCGCTCAAAGTAATTTTGCGCTAATGAGTCTAAAAGTAACCGCACTGGAATGGTGGTAGATAGGATATAAAAGAGAGTATTACTAGCAAACGTTTCAAAAGTATTCATAATACACCTTACTTTAGTATTTTCAATCTGACTTAAATTCGATGTAGAGCCGTATTTTTCATGTAGCTAATTCGTAAATTACTGACATGCCATAATGATCCCTTATTCCCTTCGTTTTACGTGTGCTCCTTTCACTGGCAAAGATTTTCCCACATAATCACCATACCAGACTTGTCGGCACCGTTGAGATACACGTCACTACTCAGGAATAAAAAATCATTTTTAAGTACTTAGTCACTGCTGTGTATATAATTTTACTTTTTTAAGCGTTCACATAAAGAGTTTCCATCTCCTGTAGGAAAAAATCAATAGGATATATTGTCCTCATTTACTACTTTTATTTTTCTGGTGTTGTCAGTTCGTTCAATGATCAAAGAGTAGTTAATAAGTAATTTTTCACGACCTAGTTTTAATACAACGAAGAAGTCCGTACGTCTAATATGATCTCCGCCCTTAAAGGAAACCAGTTTCAAACTATCCTAACGCACATTTGTTTAGTATTTTGTTCTTTTTCTCCCTGAAACAATGCGTGAACTTCGTGTGCAAATGTCCTTGGGAAGCCATGAATATAGAAGAAAGGACGGAACGGTAGTCCTTTACTTTGTAGTATGAGAAGAGAGATGCAATCGGAAGACGATTTCTCCTTTAAACGCCCCCGACGCGGGAATTGTCTCGGACGAATAACGATTGCGGCGAAGACAAAAGAAAGGGGTCGTCTTCAGAAGCGTTTCCCGTGTATGCTCTGAGATAAGATTACAGCTTACACGAAAGACGTGTCGCTCTAAAAGGAGAAAGTGCGGAGATAGATGAATGGAACTCGACTTAGAAGAGACTCTCGAAGAAAGAAGTTTTGTGAGACGTTGCTGACAATATCCTAGACAGTGGAATTCGTTCATCTGAACTAGGAATGTTCTTGACAAGAGAAAATTTAAACAGACAGAAAATTACTCTTAATAGTCATGCCCATAGAATTAAACAAACCTTGACTACTCCAGAAAATGAAGTGTCTTTGAAATTATTATAACTTTATATAATTTTATACTTCTTGGCAACGCACAGGGTGCTTTATTTAGAAGTATGAGGAATAATAATGAAAAAGTCTCAGAGACACTCTCTCTAAGCTTCAAGTTTAAAGGTCTTAATGTAATGTGGGTTTGCCTAGAGATTCGCATTTCAGTGCTCATGACCGTCAACCCAGCGCAGAGCAGGAAGAATGCGGATTACGGGTATCAGGAAGAGAATGTGCTATTATGGTGTATATCAAAGAGATGGTTGGTCAACAAAAACATTATAAAATTCCTTGCACTCTATGTTGCACTATTAACTCAACAAATGATGAATTAACAATTATTTTTACTTTGCCTCAAAACAAGTGTAGTGTAAGACCGTGCGTAAGGGAGTCTAAGTGTTTACGTGCTTTCAGTCGTTGCGTGAACTCTGGCTGGACGCAGCGTTCCTCTCGCCCGGCGTTTCCGTCTGTGAGGCTTTTAAATATGCTTTCCTACTGTGCCCTCAGCCCTTTGTGGATATAACATCTCCTATCGGTCGCAGTTTACTCGTGTGTGAATCGCTGGGCAATCGTGTCGTAGAATCTATTCAGATTTGATCACGAATTTGGTTATAAATAAGCGAACTCCTTACCAAATACCCCTACCCTCTTGTTCTTCCCTGCGGACCCTTGCTGCAAAGACGGCGAGCGGGTTGCGGCGCAGAAGGGGCCCAGACTTCGGAGCACTTGGTCGACGAGGAAGGAGGTTTCTACTGGTCAGCAGGAACGTGGTTGGCTTCCTTCGCGGTCACAAGTTAAAGATGGAAACCTGACCTACCTCTCTGAGATGCCGTACGATTTCTTTTGAAATATTTTTTAGCTCCTTGCTACTGGTCTCAGAAATATGTAAAAGATTTCTGTATCTTCGAGTATTATTACATAAATTTTGTGAATCTTAAACTGTAATAATATTGTGAAATTAAAACAACATAGTATTTACAGTTATATCGTATAAAAAAGGAAATTTTTTATATTTTAAAACTGCTATTCCGTTGGCTAAACCGTTGGCTGGTTTTGTTTCCCCCACTAATCAGCAGCCAGAATCTATGCGGGTGAGTCTCTCGCTCAGTGTTCGAAGAGTACCCTGGAAATAAATATGCGAGGATAATATTTCCACATTTTCTAAAATATTCAATAAGAGGCAATATGACCTTATTTCACAACAGTAAGTTTCTACGACACGTATGCAGATAACTCGCAATCGGCGTAAGAAGTGTAGAAAATAAAAATGATGATCATGATGATGATGATAATAATAATAATAATAATAATAATAATAATAATAATAATAATAATAATAATAAATAGGAAATCGCTATCTGCAGTAATAAGTGTCATATTTACATATATGTTCCAAAGAGCTCATGATAGTATGCATGGATATGTACGCACAGGTCGTATGTACGCATAGGTACTAATTATCTAAAAGCAGTAGGCCCAGATAACTTTAAACTTCAAAGGCGCTGATTGCCCGTTCGTTAGCACAATTGAAACAACGCTGTGCGGAGTGAGTGAAAAAGTCGTTCTGGAGAGACTGTTGGGTGCGGTGGGGGCGGAGACGTGAGCGGAGAGGGATAGGCCGGGCACTGCTGGCGCCCGGTGCTGCATCGATCTCCGAACACGTTCGTTCGACCCCCGACCGCCAGAGCGACACCACTTCCATCCTCCTCTTCTTATTTTTCCAGTGCCACTAGTCAGAGGGTTGGCGACCAAGAACAGGGAATTGATGTTTGGATTTCCTTTTTTGTCAATTCTGAAGTGATGAATTATGATTTAGTTAAACATTACCAGTCGTTACCGTTTCCTGGGAACAGTCCCCGGATTTAAAAAAAACTCCCACAAGAATCCGTTCCCAAAACGTCCCTGGATTTCATTTAACATTAGCGAATATATATTTATTATGTACACTTGTTAGACATTATGACTTAGGGTTACCAGATTTTTTCAGTGCAAACGAGGACACCATTTAAGTTATTTATTTTATTTGGAATTCATTTTCAGACGAATGAAAACAACTTCATAAAAGTGTATCAAGAATTACTCAAGATTTCTACTAGTTACCTCTCGTGTCCGTATTCTCTGACAAATATATGGTAAACTTAATTTAGGAGATGGTATGGAATTTGTAGGGGGTTCGTATTTGACTATCACTCAGCACAAAATTATTAGTTGAAACATCTATGTATTTCATTAGATTCGAATCAGTGTATTTGCGAAACTCAAAACGATGCTGTTAATGTCAAGAATCGCTTCATAAACCGATTTCTTACGGTAAAAGCGTTTTTCTATGTCTCACGTAGAAGACACACGTATTTGTGCCAATAGCGTTGTGTTAATACGTCATCATCAAATCCATAAAATACCATTTTATTGCAATGAAAAATAAATGGTGTAAAAATTAGTTTTTAGTAACCTTATGTACTAACTTGCAATGGTGATTATATGCCCTTTGACTTTTGCCCATTTGACACTTCATCTCGTTATATACGTATAAAGTGAAATTAAATTCATCTGACTTTCCAACCTTCAAATTTATTTCTATTATTTATTTTATTATAGCTTCTAGCCTACTTCCCCACGGCTCCTCTTTCATGTTTGTTGACTATTTATACGTGCTGAATTCTTAACTTCTCTTATAAACTCAGATAATTGATAGCACTGCATTTAATTGTCACCTTTTTTCAGTTTACGTTTGACATGATTTTTTTTTTAATTGCATTGATCCATCTTTTTTGTCTTCGTAAGATTTTACAAAGGATTTTCTTTTTCGGGGGTGTACATTGCCACAGCGTCTGTAAAAATAAGTTTCGTACATTCTTTTCATAAAATATTTGTCCAAGTATTATTCTCCAATGCATTATTTTAAATTGTATTTATTACTTGTATCTCTAAAAATTCTCCGCGTGTTCTACTGTTAGAAAAACATTTGCCTAACTATTTTTTCTCCTGCATGCCTCTTTCTTTGAATTTGAGGACATTTTTCTTTCTCCATCCTCGCCAAAATTCTCTCATTTGTTATTATATTTCAGACTAAGGTTTTTTGTTGTTGTTGTTTGTTGTTGTTGTTGTTGTTTTTTTAACCTTTTGAAATGATATTTACTCGCCAAGTCACAAAAAAGCGAGCTTATTATTTGGATGGCTGGTTTCAGAATCAATGTACATTTCTCTCACTTGCTTTACAGTTACATAATTGAGATATCCTTCAAAACCCTTTGAGGATCTGTGTTAGCAAGCACGTATGTCATGGTTTGTCGAAGCTCTTTGGAATGCTTCCTTTGTCTCTAGACTAGTGACATAGTCGTTTAATTGCCTCGTTACAAGCTTCAATGCACTCTGGCATTCGTTATGCAATGTTCACTGAATTACATTAGTCTATTTCGATCCATTGCGCTCAAGACTTTTCATTGTTCACCATGTAGAATCGACCGCTGTATTTCCAGTGATCACCACGCAACAGAAACCAATACCATCTCTTGGGGAGGAAGCATTGAATAAACTTGCCCCACCAATCGCCTCTCAAATGAACTAGTCCAATTTTTTTTCATTCAATTGTTTTTTGTTTAATACATGACAACCTCAAAAATCGTAAAATCAAGTTTATATCTCCTGACGTTTTTCCGCAATTGTTCCATTTCCTATTCAGCAAGAAATCTTGTTCCATTCCCTCCCGTAATAATCTGTTGCTTTTAAACGTGTTAGTCATCGCTGTTCAGTTCTGGTCATTTATAGAGGTGATGTGGATACTATAAATTGGTGACATCATCTTCCCGGACAAACTCGCATTTGCATTAATTTGGTTACACAACAAATCTCTTTCCGAAACAGTGCAATTCAAAAATACATTACCGCTATATGTGATGGTCAAGTCATTGATTAAATCGAATTTAAAGTACTAATGAAATAGCATTTTTATCTAGTTTTAGTTAAATTTCCCCAAGTTTTTGTAGGAGAAAACTTACCTAAATAAATCCACTCGATTATAGTAAGAAAACATTTTTTCAGGACATAAGTGTGAACGGCACTTCTGGGATGACCAAAAAAATTTATATTAGATAATTATGATGATGTTGAAGTAAAGGTGTAATGATAAGCAGCGGTATGGAAAATTCAAATAAACCTAGTACAAACAAGCTTTTTGTATTTTTTATTTAGCCATTTTATGTACCGTAAAGGGAAATTGGCCTCGTTAGATCCCGGGGTTCCTAATCGGTCACCCAACCAGGAACGCGCGATGTATCGAATTCGCTTAACCTTCGTGACAAACGAATTCGGCTAGCCCCGCCGGTTTTGCGGTCGCGGTCTTTCAGTAGAACCATCACAATATTCACCTGAATGACGGAGGGAACCTACGCAAATCCCGGTCTGGATGGCCGGCACGGGGATTGGACCCAGGTTCCAGGAATGCAAAGTCAACGCGCTATGCTCTGAGCCATTTCGTTTGGTTAATCAGGGTTAAACCAGGGTTACCCACCCCAAATTGAACATGGAACGAACAGAATTGTAACTCCAGACCTAGAGGCGGAAAGCTAACGCACTGCTGGGACACTGGTTTTTCGTTCCACTCGTTTTTCGTGTCTCCGCTTCCCGCTCCCGATTTTTCCTCCGGAATCCACATTCCTCCCCCGCGCGCCTCGCCGCCCGATCAGGCCAACGGATGGTGCGCGTGCGTGTGGATGCGCCGAGCACACGCAGTGCTCCAGCGGAGTCGCGGTTGATGGAAACTTCCGTTGCGCGGCGGGGCTGCCGTGTGGGCGCCCATCAACCGCTTCTCGGAACGTGTGCCTTGCTCCACGTGAGCGCACGGCGAGCAATTTTCTTCTTTCTGGAGGGTGTGATTTTACTTGTTACTCTTAATAGGCTAACATGATTCGTGAGAACTGGCTGAGATGAACTATGTCGCTTCATAGGTTGTAATGAAATGTTAGGAATCTAATGTTGAAGTGAAAGAACTGCATTTTTCAATATACGATTAACGTTCCGTGACTTTAATGTATGTCCTTTTTTTACAAAGTTAATTTCACATTATAAAATACTCTCACTTCTGTGAGAGTATTTTGTGTTCTGCAACACTAGTAGCTTTGTAACTTGTGTCCAGTAGATGTGTTTTTTGGTTTGATTCTGACAACATAGCATGCAGTGCATGACTAAGTGAAATATAATATTAAAATGTATGCGCAGTTTCACTTATAATTTGTTTCTTTTCAGGTAAGACGAGAAACTTCAGACGAACCAATGAGAAAAAAGTGAGCTCGAGTCACGTGAGTACAAGTAAATATTCTGTAAGAAAGTTTATCAGTAGCATAGGCGTGAGTTTGAGAGCAAATACAAAAATATTTTCTATTGTTCCTCAAAAAGAAGTTTTTGTGAAATATTAACAACACACTTCGTTTTGGAGGATGGATCGTTTAAAGGATAGAAGTAGTTTGTTGAGAAAACTACTAGCGGTATGGCAATTAAGTATATTAGGAATACATTGAGTTATCTGTTTACTGTCTATTGTCTTGCTATCATTTGGTCGACCAAAAGAAGTGTCAATTTCCACTGAATTCATATCTCCCAGACAATCGCCTTTGGTTTAAATAACGTTGACTTCGTGGGGGAAGTGACGCTATCATCGTAGGTCTAGAGTCTTCCTACAAGGAATAATACTAATGTCCAGTAGACGCTAATTTTACGAGTATTAAAGCGCGCTGCAGATATTTTTTTGTTTCGATGGATATTTTGTTCGTAATGAAAGTACGATGGCATGACGCTTACGACGAAAACATAAGATTAGATGCAAAAGCCTTAGATACGAATGTTTTAATAAATGGCAAGTAACCAGTTCATTGAAAACATAGCTGTTGAAGTTTTTTCATCACCACGGAATCTTTCACCATCGTTCCTGTTTTTGGCACAATGCATGATCAACAACTCCGAAACCTCCTCAGCTATCAACATTTCTCGCGCAAGTAAGTAATCGCGAAGGAAGGTGAAATTTTATGTAATAATACTACCAATAAATCAGAAGAAAATATGAATCTCATACTTTAAAAAGAGTAAAAAATGCGACCCCATTAAGTAGTAAGTAAATTGGCTTTTTTTAGCAAACTTTCAATTAATAGTAATACACCTACAATGCAATGAAGTACAAAAATATAACATTGTCAATAACAATAAGTATAATCATAATATTAATAATAAGTGGGGTCGTGATTATTGATGAAAAGAAATGGCAAATCGGCTGTCCTATGTTATCTCAATCCGAAGTAGCTTCTTGCTCAATTTAGACATCCAATCGCACTTGCACTACACAATACTAGGATCTTCGAAATAACCTTCACTGTTACAATTCTATATATATTGCTCTACAAGTCACAATAGGAATTTCTTTATATAGTAAGTCAATGTTCGTTAGTTAGAGTAATACTTAATTAACTAAGGATTACAGAAGTTTCCTCAATTAAACATCCGAGGAAAATGTCAAAAATTCATTTGGGCTAACTGTTTCATTTTGTTAAAGTCGATTTGTGAAAGAAAGTTTCCCGATATCCGTTCTCTGCGATCATAATTAGAGGTTGTGCTTGTGAAGTGCGTAGTGTTAACTGCGTGAAAAACTGGTGATAAACGTCTTTGAATGGCGAAGCCACGTCCCTTCTACAGTGCTAACTCCCACCAAAGTTTCGTCGTACCCGATTCAGGATACGATTTGTCGTGAGGATGGCGATACTCGCCTCGCCTACAATTTGACGAAGTATTAGTAGTTCAAAAAGTATTAATATGCCCTTGCCATGGACATAGAATATGCGTTGGTGCTTCAGTTATGATTTACAACCTTTGAAATGTTCGAAGCAAGGAAACCAAATCAAGAAAATGGGAAAATATAACTCTCCAATGAACATTTTAAAAATACATTCACACCGTGCTGTCCGGCAGCCTTTACTTCTCTCGTCATATCTTCAACTCATCCACTCAAGGAAATATCCAATTATCAGCCTGTCGAATCATCCACGTACACACACCGCCCCCGACAGGCCTATCTTCTCACAGCCTCCAACCAAGCAAGCCGCTTCGATATTGCCTCTGCCACCGCCGCACCTGATCCAACTACCGCCTCTTCGATCCCGACTCACACACAGCTCCATCGCTCTCGGCCCACGCGCTGCATTGGCGTACCCACCCTCCCACTGGTCCGATGTAATGGACCTACCCGTCATCCACCCTTCCACGCCCGCCCCGCTCATTACCGCGCAGTTCCCAACGCACTCGCCGACCCCGACACACACGCCGTCCCCGATTGATTGACAGTTCCGTTCCCCCCCCACACACACACACCACCATTCGCGAGCCCACATGCCTCCACCCAGCGTAGCGCGTGACCCACCCACTCCCCCGCTGTTCCGACTGTCAGTCCGGGTCTTCAGAAGAACTCCAATGCCACACGTTCCAGGAAATACAGAAGAATCCCTTTCAATCGACATTCCAGAGCGTGCGGCGAAGCTCCGCCCCTCTCTGATTGCATAAGCCCCGAGGGATCATGGCTTTCGCGCGTGTGGAGGGCGGGCGGGGCCGTGTCGATGGTAGCGACTCGCAATTAAACGCCCGGGCGGGCGGCGGCGTCCTCGCGGCGCGCGACCCGCTCTCCGCCTCCGCCGCGCCGCGCCTCCTCCGCCCCACCGCGACCTGCCGGCTGGGCGGCGGCGGTGGCGGCGGCGGCGGCGGGCCGCGCGGAGCGTTGAGCCGCGCCGTGCCGTCGTCAGTCGTGTCCGGGCGCGCGCCCGCCAGCGCGCGCTCTCTGCCCGCTGCGCCGCCCGCGTGCGTTCCTCCGCCCGCCGGCCGCCGCCCTCGCCGCCCCGCCGCCGCCGCCCTGTCACCATGGGCTGCCGCCGCCTACGCCGCCGCTCGCCACGGCACGCAGCCTAACCGGGCCGCCGAACGCCGCCGCCCTGCACGACGTCCGACTTCACGACCACATACTACGACCGTCCGGCGCGCCGCACGACGACTTCTGGGTACGTGCCTCCGTCCGCCAGAGGGGGTTTCACGTTTTTTGTGTAGGGTCACTTACGTGCATGAAGCGATGAGTGAAAGCGTGCTGGTTCGATTGCCAGTGCAGCAGCACACAGCCACCGACACGACGATGTGAAACTTGATAACAATGAATGTGACCAACAAGTGTTGAAGGCATGTTTCATGGAGTAGTATTTATACATTTGCGATTACATTGAAATGTTAGCGTGTCTCTTTAGAAAACCCGAATTTGAATCATTGTTCAAAATTTTCCTTTCTCCCTTAATCGGAATAACATCTGACCTGGTTTAAAATTACCTCGAACTATCCTATCCTGAGAACCTAGTGGTGAGGAGCATTACGTGCACAATACCCTTTTGCGCTGAACGTGATGTCATCCAGTGGCATAGCTATGAGTGCAGTCCAGAAGTCGTCCATTGTGAGCTGCACGTTTTTACAAGACACTTACACTCTTTTTATTCCTTTTTATCGCTCTCCGCTAACATTGGCGGAACTCTTCTACAGTTCGTGTGTTAAGTACTTTATGGGTAGTTTTGCTACCCGCGTCTCCGCGTGGGGTCGCATATACCCAGATAGCTTTATTGTCCGATTAAAGTAAGAACGAAAGCGTTTTGACACAGTTTCAAAACAACCTATAGCAGCGCTGGACAGTAAATGTGTCTATTTGGTGAGTTTAAAACCACATAAATGTTAAATACTTAAATGTCAATCACATTCGTCTTGTAATCGAGCCATAGGAGAAACGAATCCGGGGCGCTGCAATTTCAGCGATGCGCGACGTCAACAGGCCACATTTGCACCAACCCCGCCTACCGCGCAGTGGGCTATCTTGTTTTGGTTTTGCTAGTTGGCTGAACTCAAAACGCAAGTAGCATGATTGTAAAATACGCAATTTAATATTAAAGACGTTTCAATTTTACAAGGCGAGACCTGTTGGAACTGGAAGATATTCCTGACTGTTACCGAGGGTAACTATGAAAATTGTTTTCGCGTTGATGCCTCGCCTTTAGTGACATCGATTCTTTTAAATCGTATGTTGATATCCATTGTGGACTCCTGGCGCTCCAGCTACATCACTTAGCACTTGCCCGTTAAAACTTTTCGATACTAGTAGTTGACGAAGGAGGAAGAATCTAGTTCTTCAGTTAAAGTCTGCGGACTTTAGAAACGCATTGCTGTTTTGGAGGAAGGTTGAAAAAGTTTCATCTCGCAAGTTAATGCGTTGAAACATTATTTCAGATGGCTTTCTTATGGTAGATTATTCTAAAATCCTGATATTAAATTTTAACTTTCCTGCCAATTACTATGTGATTATTTTAAGTTTCGTGTGATTTCATTGAAAGGCGGTGGTATCAATTATATTTGGCTTTGTAGTTCACGTGCGAGTACGTGGCAACGCAGCCTGCCAACGACAAGAACGTAAACGATTTCATCGGAGAATAGTCAGCCTTCCTAGTTGGGAAGCGTGTCTGGTAGTGAGTGTTGCGCAAGGACTTGCCTATTGCAGTGTCCTGTTACTGACCATGTGTCATCTCTAAGTTCTGACTTGGCACATCATAACAATGACGCTTTTGCTGGTTTTTTTTTCTTCGGAATTAAGGTCTACTTAATTTTTATTATAAAACTTGGCAAGTGGTGTTCAGGTTGTCATTGAAAGTAGTTTTTCATGTCGTTTCGATGACACATCCATGCAGAAATAATTGTAATATTTACGTTTTTTGAGGAAGTGTGTGTAATATTTGTATTGAATAATATTTGTTTAAAGTTGCAGAATAACTAAAGTTAGTTAAACTGAAATTAGAGCATCAATAGTTTCTAAAGAAAACAGTGTTGATTGTGTGTTCAACATCAGTGTATCTCTTCCTGGCACTTTCGTAGAAAAATTCGTTCTCAGAACGAATGCTTGTTCTGTGAATTCCGGAGTTCAGTGTCAACCCAACGAAGTCTGTTTATGGTTAGATCCCGCGCGCCGTAGTTGGAAATCCGTGTGTAAACTCTGTGAGTGTTTCTTCCAAAATGGAAAGTTGCGCCGCCGTGGAACTGTCGAAAGGAAAGATGGCAGATTTGTGGGCGTCCGCCTCCCGGTCTGACACCGCGACTCGGAATGCGACTCACATCCTCCGGGGCCCCTCTGCGTCCTGGCATCCTCGCCGCCGGCACTGGCTGCCCAGCTGTCGATGTGACTGACTAAGACACATGGGTTGTTTTTTAAAGCGAAGGTCAGTGCTCCTTCTGTTACTCCCTACGC